TTTTGAGAAGGAGTCTTGCTCTGTCGCCCAGGCTGGAGTGCAGTGGTGTGATCTCAGCTCACTGCAAACTCCGCCTCCCAGGTTCATGCCGTTCTCCTGCCTCAGCCTCCCGAGTAGCTGGGAACTACAGGTGCCTGCCACCACGCCTGGCTAATTTTTTATATTTTTAGTAGAGACGGGGTTTACACTGTGTTAGCCAGGATGGTCTCGATCTCCTGACGTCGTGATTCGCCCGCCTCGGCTTTCCAAAGTGCTGGGATTACAGGCGTGAGCCACCGCACCTGGCCTGCAGTCCGATATTTATTGCTTAAAGTTTGGAGAACCCATACTTACTTGGTGATCTTAAGAGTTAAATCTGTTGACTTAGAATTTAAAGTTAAAAAAAAAAAAATGAAGAGAAAATGAAATGAGAAGCAAACCTTTTAAAATTCTCAATTTTTATTCTAAATTTGAATTTTGGAAATATATAAAGAAACTGTATTATAGTACTTGGAGCTGTCCAGAGCTCTCAAGTATTTGTTTTGCTTTCATTTGACTATGTCATCTAGTTTATTTTAAATAACAGAGAGTCAAGTAAGTTGAAAAGATTGCTTTCTAGCCCTGTCAGAAACGGGAGACGAAATCAGTAAGTGGTTCTGAAGCTTTTCCCCTATCTTTATACATTTTCTTTTTTTTTCTTTTTCTTTCTTTTTTTTTTTTTTTTTGTAGAGATAGGGTCTTGCTATGTTGCCCAGGCTGGTCCTTTATACATTTTCATCTGTAACAGTGGCTCACCAAGGCACTACTTTACAGCCAAGGGGATACGGCTTCTCTAGTTGTGACTATTTATGTTTCCAATTTCCCATTACAGCCTTTTCTTTAAAGCATTCCTGATTTCATAGGAAGAAGGAAACACAAGGAGAAAGTAATTTTGTGATCACTGATATAACATGCCCTCCAACTCAAATGTAATTTAACTGCTTACTCTATTTGACCACTTCTTACATATACTGTAGGATAACTGAGTCAAATTTCTAGTTAATGGAAGGTCTTATGTGCTACATAAGAGAGTCACGAACACAAGATACAAGTACACATTTTTATTTCATTGTAAATCAGGAGGAATGGATATTTAAACAAGACGAAACATGGTAACATGGAGTTCACTGAAAACACTGGATTCCGAGTCCCCAAAATGTGGACAATCCAAACCTATATAGGCAAAATTTAAAATAAACGATTTCAAACTTTTATATCCATTTAAACCAACTTGTAGAATTTATATGTAATTTTAATCATCACAATTTATGCATGATGGATGAAATATAAAATGTTAAGAGCAATTTATTACTAAAAAGCCTTGACTATTGGCCGGGCACGGTGGCTCACACCTGTAATCCCAGCACTTTGGGAGGCCAAGGTGGGCGGATCACGAGGTCAGGAGATCGAGACCATTGTGGCTAACACCGTGAAACCCCGTCTCTACTAAAAATACAAAAAAAAAAAAAAAAATTAGCCGGGCATGGTGGCAGACGCCTGTAGTCCCAGCTACTCTGGAGGCTGAGGCAGGAGAATGGTGTGAACCCTGGAGGCGGAGTTTGCAGTGAGCCGAGATGGCGCCACTGCATTCCAGCCTGGGTGACAGAGCGAGACTCCATCTCAAAAAAAAAAAAACAAAAAAAAACACAAAAAACCTTGACTATTAAGTTATTAACCAGAAAGCAAAGAATAAATCTGCAAGATGATATACCTAGTAATTTTTAAAATTATGACTATATTTCTTCTAAAGTACTTGTATTTACCAAAGGATTATTATTAATAATGTCGCTATTGCTTTAGGGACTATCTGCATCACAATTACAGGTGTGCATATTATAAATGCACATTCCAAGCCCAGGAATTGAAATTTCACAATAAGCGATTCCTACTCCATTTTGATGCACATTAGTTTAAGCAGCTGATACAAAGAATAACATTAATTTGGGAATGTTGCTGGATCAGAGTTTCCCAAACTTCTCAAGTAAGAATCACTTAGGTCATCTATAAAATATAAAGACTACCACCTCTTCTCCACTAGATATTCTGACTCAAGAGGGCTGAACTGGGGCCTAGAATCAGTGCTTTTTTTTTTTTTTTTAACAAGTACACCAGTTGCTTATTT